TCTTTTTCCCCCCCCCCCCCCCCCCCCCCCCCCCCCCAGCCACATCATAATAACGCCCTGGCTCACCTGCCAATTGCTGCTCTTACCGCTCTCCCGCATCAAGCCATCGACGGGAAGGGTCAATCACTCCACGGGAGAATCAAAAGTATCTACGGAAGCACGCCGCGTCTCGCCTGCTGTTTCCTCGTACCGAATCAACCTCGTCACCATCGAGCCCCTACGCAAGCAGGTGCAACGCGGGTAACTACCTAACTCAAGGGTCCCATACAACCAGCGACACCCTTCCAATTCGTTTCCTGTCTGTACCTGCCCGTTGTCCCTTTCCATTCCTTGCCACCGCATCGTCCTGGCCCTGGCCCCTTGTACTTTTCTGCTACAGTCTCTTTCTTCACCGACTGACAACGCCCTTGTACCTACCTGTCTACGGATATATTAGGCATCTGCCTGATCATGACAGAGTCTCGAGTCCTCTCCCTCAACAGTGTCTTCTCCCATCTACGATCTCTTCTCCCTCGTTGTTCTCTCGTCTTTTCTTCGACACGGTGCACAGGTCTGTCTCTTCCGCACACACATAGCGTTGCTCAGAACGACCTCATCTCTGCACGCCTACAAGCACACATCTGCCCGGCCACAGCATAGCTTCTCTCAAGGCTTCGTTCTAAGCCTTGACCCGGTCCAAAGCTCTCTATACGGATATACGTCCTTCCCCTACATCTGACGCCGCACGGCAGACAAACAATTCTTCAACCAACTTTTACAGGTTCGCCTGCCCCTGTCCAGGCTTGCTCACTTTGGCCGTGCTTATCTTCTGACAAGTCTGATTTCAGTTCTCACATCAGAAAGATGGCGCCTAGTGCTGTTGGTCCGGTCGTGGGTGCTGCCACGGCACTTGCTGCCCACCACATCCATCACACGGAATACCACGCTCCAGTCGCCGACGCCCCCGGTCTCCCCACTGGGTTTCCCGAGACAGTGGTCGACGAATCAGCCTGGACCGGCCCGCAATTCACCAAGGAGTCGCAATACACCTACCACCTCACTAATGCGGACCACAAGGAGCTGGCGGTTGCCCTCAAGCACTTCAAAGGTATGTATAGCCTCAGCTTTACAACAACAACAACAACGTCATCATCATCTGACTCTGGACACGCACCCAGCACTGGGCCTCGACGGTGATCTTGTCCACAGAGACAACTTCCCTCTTTCCAGCCTTGGCGTCATCCTAGATCGTATTGCCAGTGATGTTCATCACGGTAAGGGTTTTGCTGTGGTCCGCGGCATTGATCCGCAGAAGCATTCGGTCGAGGATCTTACGACACTGTATCTTGGTATTCAAGGGTACATTGCCAACCAGCATGGCCGTCAGGACAAGAAGGGAAACATGCTTGGTATGTAATTGATACGAGGCCTGAGCGGACTTGCTGACTCCGACCACAGTCCACATCGTTGCCGACAACACAAGCCAAGTCAAGGCTGATCACCATCGCCATTCAACTTCAGCCATTGTAAGGATCCTGTCCGTCGCTCCAAACCATACCATCGACTGACTTGGCTCCAGACCTTCCACAACGAGGAATCAGGCGATGTGGTCAGCTGGTTGACCCGGAGTACTGCTGCGACTGGTGGCAAATGCATCATTGCCTCTGCTCATACCGTCTACAATGTGCTCGCAGCCACTCGACCAGATATCATCCGCACCTTGTCCCGTTCAGACTGGCCCTTTGCTCTGTAGGTGTATCCATTTCTCTACCGTGATTCTGTGCCTGGTGCAAGACAATGGAATTGCTTGCTAACTGCGGTCAAGACCCAAGTTTCAATGTCGCCCAATTCTCTTCCACCATGAAGGGAAGATTATCATCAACTTTGGACGTACTCCCCTCATGGGGAACTCGGCCCACCCTCGGCCCGCTCATTTCCCGTCATTGACGCCTCGCCAAGTTGAGGCTCTCGACGCCATCGAGAGCATTGCCAAGGCAACCCAAATGGAGATCCAGACTCGAGCCGGCGACATTCACTTTGTTAACAATTTGGCCATCCTTCACCGTCGTGAGGCGTTCACCAATGGCCAGGGCCCCGCTGAGAAGCGTCATCTCGTTCGGATGCGTGTGCGCAACGACAGGCTCGGCTGGTCCATACCTCATGAGCTCAAACGCGAGTGGTTCGACGCTTTCGAGAAGCCTGCTGACCGTGTTTGGCACCTAGAGCCAATGCCCGACGCTTTCTTTCCTTTGAGAAAATATCCCAACTGACTGGATGTGTTTTTCCTTCACTGTTTTGTTGAAAAGCCATGCAAAACGGGAGTTGAGGCGTCATGGTTGTATTACCTGGGCTTGCATTGCTTAATCCTGAAGGCACGCGCTCCTGGTATGGGGTCTTATTTTTTTCTTATTTTTCTTTTTCCCTCACCGCACTCTTGTACCCCTGTTACAGCAAAAGAGTTTCTTACCTTTTCTTGTCAGTGCCAGAAAATCATGGAGTCTAGAGGAGTTTGAACTGTAGAAACCGGCGGGGAAAAGCATATACATTATTGGTAGGGACATCAGGCCGGCGTTGGCATGCAATGCAAGACGAATAGTCCTTATCATATCGTGTCTTTTTAGTCTTCTAGTGAGCTGTTGCCAGCCATTGCATGAGCGGTCTCGACATAATCAGATGGCAGCTGAACCGATGTTGCAAAAGCTGCGTTCGAGACATTTTGAGATCACTGCCCACCAGCCAATCGCGTGGCTTGGGCTAGAGACATTTCTAGATCACACGACCATGGCGTTGGAAATCTGCAAGCATGGCAGACCGGTCAAATAATCGACCCTATGATTGGGCGGGGCTCAAGACACCGGTGTGCGGCAGCCATGCCCCGAAAGATGGCCTTCAAGACACCCTTTTTCATTCTTTTTCTTCTTTTCTTTTCTTTTCTTTTCTTTCTTCAGGATCTGGGCCATTGGAACGCTAGACGGTTGGCCACCTGAGTGAGTACCAGGGCTACCAGCTGCGGAAGCCCAGGTACAAAGAGATGATACGAGGACAGGGAGGGAGCAGCTATACGTATGCCTGAACTTTCATCTGGTCAAGCTTGATTAGCCGGTAACCACCACCACCACTGCTACCACTGGTACCACTTTTCAGATCTACCTGAAAAAGACATGGGCATCCTGACTGATTGGCTCCCGAGGATGTGGCAGAATACCTGTGCGAAACATGGAAGAGCCATCGCTACTTCTATTTGCAGACTGGGATTTCTTCTTCGCTTGAGCTTGAGGGAACCAATGCATGAAGACGCACGTGTGACGACGGACCCTGATCCACATCGCGAACAATATTGCAATACACATGCTCGGGTTTGGTCGAAAAGCAAGAACTGGGGAGAGCAAACATCGGTGTCAAGGATCAATGGTGAACTGATTACGATTTATTAGACGATTGTGGATTCCGGCCAGTGAATATCTGGCCAGTGGGAAAGCTGACCGATGGATCGAACAGGTAACTCGTACGTATGGGTGGCCAGTGCGCCGCAGATGCCGGGGCTTGGACAGGGCGGCATCAGATGGTAGCGGCAGTTTTATCGAGAGCCAAGGTAGGTACGGAGTAGTCGTTGAGTACTGTGTACAGGCCAAGAGCGACAAAGCCGTTATGTCAAGCATGCGGGACGATCCCGCCAATGAGGGGGTCGGCCGAGTAAGTGTGTGGTTGCGTTTTGACGGGAAGTCAAGCTGCTTTTAGCGTCTGCACCACGACACGGCTGCCAAACTGGCATTGCTGCCGGTGGGGAATGCACTCTCTCGCTGTGTGCATGAGCTTGCCGGATCGCTGGCAGCAATCAAGCGCCACCCTAGCATCCAATCAGGATGCTTCGAGACCGATTCTTTGGCGGGCCCGAGGTGATTATCGTACATCCTTTCCTGCAAGGGAGCATCGCTATACAGTATGTGCGGGGATTGGCATCCTGCGGGAACTTTTGTACGAGTACCGGATCGGTCTCAAGAACCATACAACGGGCTGCTGTATCCTCATGTTTTTCTTTTTCTGCCATGTCTTCAACCCCAAAGGATCTCGAAGGGGGGGAGGGGTGAAGGGTTACATTGACTGGAGTCCCAGACAAGGGCACACCTGTCAGGAATGGGGTTTGGGCGATGGCACGAACACGATGGAAGACGACTAGGTAGTCGACTGCCACCGGGAGCTCATACTGGTGCGCTTGCTTCTTTGGCCTGCATACGGGAACCGGGCTTTAGGATGATGGGAAGATGATGGTGTGGTCCGAGGTCAGCACCGTAGAGTAACATCCTGGCGGAAGGGCAACCGGCTTGCACATGGTCCCGCACTGAGCTCCATATTGCTTATTGCATGCTAGAGTCCCCTTTATGCTTCTTTTTTACTTCGTCAAGAAAACTCATGATTTACGTACCTGTGTGCGATGGGGAATTGCCATACCTAGGCTCCTGGCGTGGAAGATCGATCGGAAGGTTAAAAGTGGGGTGCTTTGTGTCTCTTGAAGGTTCGTTCCCTCTGAGTGCGGGAGACATTTTTGGCTTGGCAGCAGTGTTGGAACCACGCAGGGGGGGTGAGCATGCTACTACTGCGCCACTTCTTACTAGGTACACCGCGCACACCAAGAGTTGAGCAAGGAGGTCATCGGGAGAGGGAGAGGGTAAAAAAAAAAAAAGCAAAACTAGAAGCCTGAAGCAAGAGAGAGAGAGAGAGAGAGAGAGAGAGAGAGAGAGAGAGAGAGAGAGAGAGAGAGAGAGAGAGAGAGAAAAAGCAACCAGTACGGGGGATATAGGTAGGGAGGAAGACTACCCCATTACCAAATGTCTATCCGTAAAGGGTTTGGCTGCCTCAATTCGAGAGGTATCAGTAATCGGCACTTCGGCTGCGGCCAAGGGTCCTTTCCGACGGGACCATTTCGCGATGGGGCGGCGGTCTGCCATGTTTCGCGGTTAAGACTACGATCTGCTGGCCGCATCGTCGTCGGGACCGCGACAGGGGCTTGGGCATGCATATCATGTAGTCCTACGGGTAGGTAGTCTTGAGTCCAGTCCGTTTTTACACTAGATGGCTCCTCCGTAAGCGCTCGGGATGTCACCCGTCTTGGTGATAGGAAAGTTAAACTCGGTACGCAGTAAGTGGCTAAGGTCTGGAACGGGAGCTGAAGGGCCAGGCTGTCGCCGGCGAGAGGTGGTTGGATAAAGCCTTACCGCCTCGAGGGGAGGAAAAGCAAGAAACGGTCGGGTGAGAGTGGACTTTGACGATGAAGAGCTGAGCCCGAGAAGAAATGTCTCCTGAGGTCCCTGGCGCGCTCTCACGTGCAATGAAACCAAACCATCAACATGAGTGGGTCATTGTCGAAGGGAGAGAGTGCACAGACCACCTGTCGGATGACAGCACCAGCCAATTGGATTGGCTGGCAGGCCTCTGCACTTTCGGGGACCGGGGGGGTCCATCGTCCCGCTCAAGCTAAGGTAAGCCGGCCAGAAAGCTAGCTTCGTCGAATAGGAGCGTCGCCCCCAACGTCAAGTTTGCCTGCCCCCTTACCACTCTCTCTGCAGCTACTCACTGTATCCAACGGCACCTCCGTCCGTCCCGACATCATCATCAATCTTATCCAGCCAACTCCTGAGAGGGCCCGGTCCTGGTTCTGTCTTGCGCTCAACGACTCTTGACCGCTGTTTGCCCTCCTGTCCCGTTTGTTATTGCTTTTCGTTTCCGGCTCTTGCCGCGCCTTCCGCTCTGCAGTAGCCTCGCAGTGCATTGCCCATCCAAGCAGTCAATTGGAGGGACACGCACGCCAATCCACCCCCCTCCAACGAGATCCGAGTCACGGCTTCCAAAGAAGATTCTCTCCCCTTTCTGTTGTATCACGCAACGACTTCCAGCAGCCCTGTTATCCATCTACCCTACCTGCAAGGCGTACCCCTCGCGACCTCACACTGGCGCGTGCGCCCTCTCTGCTTTCCGGAAGCTGCATGCAACCTAGGGATATAGGCTTGACTGATGCAACGGCACCCCTGGATGTGAAACTTGCCTCTCACCTGAGGTACTCGAGGTGAACCTTCACTTCCTCGTCGAGATTGCGGTCTGCGTATTCGGCTGCTACCCACAGGCTTGTCCTTGTTTGTTTGTGCGCCGGTGTATGTGTGTGGGCGTGTGAGTGAGTGAGTGTGTACGTGTGTGTGGAGTGGAGTACCTTATCGAAGAAAACGGACAGCCTTTCATTTCTTCTAGTTGCACAGCAGCTTCAAACGGACCGGACCGTCGATCCCGGAGTTTCCCCCCACCCACGCTCGCCCGTCCAGAATACCGGGTGCCGAGTCTTTACCTAGCTTCCCACGGCGATCATGGCTCCTCGTCAGGGAGGCTACCTCCGCGTCCCCGGACAAGAAGAGGAATTTCTTCAGCAGCAACCCCGTCGCAGCCGCTCCGGCTCCGCCGGCCGGAGGAAGAAGCCCTTGCCGAGCGAAAAGCCGCTCCCGGCCCTTCCGGGGTCGACCCCTACCCACACAGCGGGCTTCGTCGACGTCGACCTCAACCTCGACGGCGGCATCGCCAGCACGCCCAGGAGCCGTCGCCGTGCCGCCATCGTCATCGCCCTGGTGCTTGCCATCGTGGGATGCGTTCTGGCCTTTGTCGTCCTCGGCCTCGCCTGGGACAACGGCGGCGTGCGGAGGGGCCCCAGCGCGCTGGACGACCTGAAGCACACGGGCGACTGCCCTTGCCGGCCGGACAGCGACGTACCGCAGTACTTCCAGACGAGCCCTGAGCTATGGGCCGGCCCGACGGCGACGGGGAGGCCCGCCTTCATGGCCCAGACGAGGGTCCTGCCGACGGGGACTTTTGTGCCGAACCAGCCGCTGCAGACGGACATACCGATCGAGGGCATGAGTAACAGTAACGAGAGCATCTTCAACATGATGGGGTGAGCTACTTGGCCACACGCAGCCTGGGGAGCACTGCTGACGTTGCCGCGCAGGTTTCTCACGCCGTACCAGCCGAGCCCTGGGTTCGGAGTGGACGAGTACGCCCTGCCAGCTGGGGCTGAGATTGTCCAGGTTCAGGTACGATTGCGATGCCCGTAGCAGGACCCCCTCACCCCTGTTTGGCGGACCGCCTTGGGCTTGGAAGCGATGGACTGATGGATAGTTTCGTTTTAGATGCTTTCCCGACACGGCTCCAGATACCCGACCCTGGGATCCAATGTTGCTAGTTTAGGAGAGCGCATTGCGAAAGCTGGTGGCAAGCTCAAGGCGAAGGGTGCTCTGAGTTTCTTGAACGACTGGAAGTATCAGCTTGGGCACGAGATCTTGGTTCCCAAGGGTAATCGCCCCGTGGGCTTTTATTACGTGTGACAGTGCTAACGCGGGCTGCAGGACGTCAAGAACTGTTCGATTCTGGTGAGAATACCATGGCTTGGCCCCGGTACCTTTCCAATTCTGACTTGGTTGTAGGCATTTTACACTCTTACATGTACTCTTCGTTGTACAATCCAAACAGCAAGATCATTGTTCGGACCACTGTGAGCCGCACCCATGCAGTGTGCACGCCCGAGCTGTTTCGCAGCTAACGCCCATACAGACACAAGACCGCATGCTGAAGTCGGCCGAGTACTGGCTGGCTGGTTTCTTTGGTCTTGAGTGGTGCGTGATCTTTCAACATATGAGTTATAAGAAGCTGATGTCTGACCTCGTCTTAGGACCAACAACGCCACCATCGAGGTGATCATCGAGCAAGACAGGGCCAACAATTCACTTGCTGGGTATCTGAACTGTCCCAATGCCCGTAAACAGAATGGAGGTGACGATGCTGCCAAGGTCTGGATTTCGAACTATCTAGCCAATGGTTAGTACGCCGTCTTGCCGCCGACACGGGAGTTCGCTGACGTCCTCCAGCTACTGCACGCCTGCGGGATATGGTGGATGGATATGACTGGACCATCGACGACACATACGCCGCTCAAACCATGTGTCCCTATGAGACGGTGAGCGTTGTTAGAGGAGTATGAGCGGGATCATGCTGACTGGCTCGTATCAGGTTGCCTACGGCTTCAGTCTATTCTGCGACCTTTTCACTTACGATGAGTGGGTCGGGTTCTCCTATTCGATTGACCTCGAGTTCGCCGGCAACAATGCTTTCCAGAACCCCACAGGTGTAGGTTTCCCCTCTGGCGTAGATTGGATGATGAAACAATGTTGACTCGCTGCAGCGTGCCGTGGGTATCGGATACCAACAAGAAGTCATCGCCCGCCTGCAGAACCACACCCTGGGCTACTCGGGCTCGCAGATCAACATCACGCTCGACAATAATACCGTCACCTTCCCGCTCAACCAGAGCCTCTACTTTGACTTCTCCCACGATACCAACATCGCCTCCATCCTTACGGCATTCGGGCTCAAGCAGTTCGCCCAACTGCTCCAGCCGACCGAGTACCCGGGCCCGCACAACTTCACCGTCTCGCACCTGACGCCGTTCGGCGCCCGCCTCGACATCGAGATCATCAAGACCCCGAAGCCGTTCAAGGCCGACCGGTCTGGCTACGACGAGGACGGCGGAGAGACCAAGTACGTCCACTTCGTCCTCAACCAGCGGACGGTGCCGCTGGGGGCGAGCTTCCCCGAGTGCGATGCCGAGAGGAAGGACGGCTGGTGCGAGTTTGAGACGTTCTTGAAGGTCCAGCAGGACATGCCCAGGCTGGCGGACTACGAAAGGGCGTGCCACGGGGACATCGAAACGGTGCCGTACGGGGTTGTGTATGACGGCAGGCCCTTGTGATAGGAGCAGGAGGGAATTGGGGGAGTTTTTGCGACGATAGGCTATTTTTATACTGTATCGACTATGTGCTGATTTCTTGCCCGGGGGTGGATGTAGACTATCAGAGCTGATTCTAGGAGGGAAGCACTTAATTAACGTTTCCGACTTTGACGGCCGCCAACGGCCAGGGTTGTGAAGACTCTGGCAAAGATCCTTGGCTGATTGGTGTACAAAGTTGATGGTGCCGACTCGGAGAGTGAGGGAAGAGCGGCGCGATCTGACGGTATCTTCCCAGGAACTCAAAGTCATCATCTAACATTGCAGATGATTCAACAATACACATGAGCTCCTGTGGGGTACAGGGCAGTACACGACCAAGATGACTACTAAGATCTCTTTGTAAAGGTCTAGATCCTCCGAACCGGAGATACCAATTCATCTTGCTGAGCCTCAAGGCATGACAGGAATCTCTTTAGGACGCTGAGCAGAAGTCTCTCTGAGACCCTGAAATCATACGCTCTTAAGGGACCAAGGCCACACAAGGGAAATGCCTGTTCGAATCTCCAATTAAGTGCTGCTTCGTAGTATTACAGGCTGCTTCGTTATGCTTTTTGAGTGCCGCTTGTTATCCACCTGATACTAGACTTACATGTGAATGGCGCCAGTCAGAGACTCTTTGTTCAACTCAAGGGCGAGAGCAATTGTGTATTAAGCACTGTGCAGTGTCTCTTCAACATCTAGTCAGTTATGATACAAGCACTTAGAACAAGTCAAGGATACAACCAGGTAATAAAGTCGAGACGATTTTGTGAATTCGTCCCACACTCATCAAAAGCGTCGGAAATTTGAAAGACGCGGTGTAGGTCTAGATCAAGCAGCATGGCTTCAAGGATCTTCAACATAACATCCCTCGAACCGCTAGATACCGCCACTGTCGTATTCCTTACAAACGCACGATAAAAGCAGTAAGTGCCGCGCTACAATGGCATATGACAGACCTCGTAGCACAGCTATTGCGTTGTCAAGGTTTCTCTCTGCAGAAGCTACCCATCATGTTAACAGGATTCTCCATCTTGTCGATGATATCGCACAATAGCATTGTCTGACCCTTGCCCGGATTCCCCCCTTGATCTGGAGCAGATGGCTCTACGAATCGACGAGACACAGCCAGAAGCTGACGCGATGCAGATACCAGCGGTACGAATCTCAAAGGAGGCCGTCCTTGGTGTTCTGGTTGCACGACCTTTGCTATATGTGTCACTAACGGGGATTCGATTTGCATCCCGCAACTGATCTGCGGCTCGACAGCCAAATATTTCGCTGTCATTTATAGGCCGGCCTGGATGAGCTGCTCTCTCTGCCGCCATCTCTCTGGCGAACCGGCCTCGATCTGGTTCTCGGTCGCGACGGGCCCCGAGCTTCCATCTCCAAGTTTTGGCCGGCGGTAATCTCTCGTATGCTTCGACTATCTAGACATGGATTGACCCGAGTCCGCCCTACACCTGATTCCAAGGCCGCCCGCCATTGAAGGCTCGACGTTGAGGCCCCTGAAAGCGGAACGGACAGACTTGGTCGGGGAACCGGAAAGCGATGCATTCAACGCTGGGAGTGGCAAAGCCGTTCGGAGCCGTCAGCTGCGGATCCGCACGAAGCCGCTCTGGAAGCCCGATGTGTACCGGCAGGTGTCGGGCCTTGACCGCAGCCAGCGGGTGCACTCAGGAATGCGATAATACCGTACCAGAAACAGAAAATCCATGTGGCTCATATGCCTCGCAGTATCCGCTCCCCTCTGCCAGAACCCCAGAAGTAAGCAGTGCCTAAAGCGTTTGAAGACAGGTATGATACGTGGCAATGCGCGGGAAGGGAAATCCGAAAGCTCGCGCAGGAACCTCTCGGTCACCTGCAACGAAGCAACGCTGAAAGGGGTGGCTGCAGCGTTCCACCAGACATCAAAGGATAGGATCGTGCAATAACGGCCCGTGGCATTCACAACTCAGCGAAATAGCGACTAGCGACGAATATTCCGAACAGATGGGTATCGATTCTATCTGTGGGGGTTCTCCGCCCCCTCCGCGCTTCTACTGATTATGCTACTACGGATACTCAAGACCACAGTCTAATCTATGATCCACTCTGTAATGAGTCAAGGCATTGGTGTGAGTTAATGTAGGCGGGGTCTATCTGATGGTCATAACGCGGGTGCACCTGGGTCACATCATCGTTGGATAACAGCCATCCTTCGCGAACGGCTCGCATGGTAAAAATATCGTCTTGATCCGGGCCCTCTCGTACCCTCAGGGGCACCAGATTTGACGTTGGTCAAAGGGGAGTGTTTGACATTGTTCACGTGCAATCCTCAATCTTCCAAGCCGCCGAAGCGCGTCCGACAGAGCAATGCCAAGTGCTCGACCAGGCACATGCCGACGAACGGAATTGTGCCGGCTCCGAGGCTGACCTACTAGCACTGACGTGCTGACAGCAAAGCGCCAAGGCCGACATTAAATCGGGCAGGGCGTTCATGGACTGGAGTGACTCCCGATCGGTAACTACGGGGCTACAGGAGCTGCCCCGTATTAGGCATTGTGTTCGCGGCGCTGCTCTTGGGCGGTTGGAGCCATCATGGCGACCTGGATTTTTGGCATTGGCGAGTTGTTTTCTCTCCCCAAGAGAAGAAGCGGGCCTTGGTACGTCCGCGGTAGCCTTTTGTTCAGGCATCCGACCCTCCGGTATTGGAAGTCAAGATCCGTGTCAGGCGAACCAGGCTACCGCACGTTTACGCCTCAGCCTCAGAAGATGGAGCACTCTCCCTGCGCCTGTCTAAAGGCGTTCGCGAAGAAGGACTGCATGGCCGTGTAGTGGAACAAGATGCCACCCAGGACTGCCAGATGCCACAGGTTGTGGCTGCCTCCGATGTAGTCGAACATGCCGGGGCACCACCGCTCGGGGATCTTGCTCGCGTAGACGAACGCACCGAGGAGGTAGACAAAGATGCTCTTGCCGATCGGGGTGTAAAACTCCCACACGAAGTCGGGCCCATGGGAAAAGTACAGCTGCAGGATCGGCAAGAAGCCGGTGGCGCCGAGGCCACAGAAGAAGGCGACGCGCGCCCACGCCATGTCCGCTCCGTTAAAGGTGGGGTGCCAGGGGAGGATGACGCCGCCGATGCCAAGGAATGCCGTAGTGCCCATGTAGAGCCAGCGGCTCACGGGGTCACAGTAGAAGGCCGTGTATTCGGTCGTGACAATGGAGGCAGCGATGAGCAGCGATATACCCGTGTAGTCGACGCAGGCGAATATGGAGATGGCGTCGACGTCGGCGACAGCGTTCATGGTGTGCCAGATGGTTGAGCAGACAAGTGTTAGGCAGGCAGTGAAGAAGAAGACGGCAGCGATGAAGATGTCCGTCTTTGTACTGAACTGGAAGTTGGCGTTGCGTGGGTAGAAGTAGAGGGCTACGGCGAGCACGATGAAGAGGCCGATGGCATGCGACCAGATGTTGACAAGCTCGTTGGATAGGCCGAAGGCCGACCAAATGCACTCGAGCTTGGACTCGGTGAAGCGGTACCCCTCGCGGATGTGGGGGTTAATGCGCCACGGCATGGGCAGGTCGTCGTAGGCGATGAGCTTCGTCTCGCGGGCCCGCGCGACGGCTAGGGCAATCTTCTCCTCGAGGCTCTCGGCAGCGCGCATCGCCCTCTCGATACCCTCGTCGACGACCTCCCTCGCCAGCTCGATACCGCCGTCAACGACGCGGCGACCTTCGCTCATAAAGGCACCCGCGGCGTCGGCGGCGTTGGCGAGACCTTGCTCACGCAATTTATAGGCGCGGTTCTCGAACTCGGAGAGCATGTCATCAAGCAGCTCGATACCGACCCGGGCTTTCTCGTTGAGAGACTCGGCTGAGGCCAAGGCGCCCTGGTAGCGGGTCTCGAGGGTCTCCACCATAATGTGCAGACGCCTGCGGCCGGCGCCGAGGACCTCCTCCGAGGCGTGGGAGCATCGTGCGCGGACGGTCTGTAGGGTGGAAAAAGCGCGGGAAATGCTCGAGTCGAAGGTAAGCTCGCCGTAGTTTTCAAGATACTCGAGGCGGCGTTCGAGTTCGGTCAGGAAGAGGTCGACCTGTTGGGTGTAACACGAGTACATGTCAGCCGTCCATTGTTTCCTCTCTGGGCTGTAATCTTATCTTGGTCCGACTTCGCCGGTGTAGGAAGCACAGAACGACAGAGCTCGGGCTACACCAGACCGGCTCAATCCACCGAAACATGTGAGCTTACCTTGAGTAGCAAGTGCTCCTCCCCGTCCATGATGTGATTGACGATAGACTTGCGCCTGGGAATAAAGGAGTGTCGTCTTTTCCGAGCGAGTTCAGTGCCTTCGGTCTGAACGCCCGACGTCGTAGCTGTCGTGTAGTCTTCGTCGTCTTGAATGGCAGCGCCGCTGCAGGGTGACTTAAGAGAAGTCATGTTGGCGAGAGGTTCCATAACTCGACCAACGGTTTTAAGTCAACGGAAAACGTAGTTGGCTTCGAACGGCAAATGCTTGGGCTCGGCGGTAAGAGGGACCGCAGCCGGGATTGAGTTTTGGTTATCGTATGTGTCGTTCCTGATTGCACCGTTCACACGTGCGTATATAATCCCGTAGTTGTGGTTTGGGGTGTGTTACACCGAGGATATGCAGCGGCTCTTGTATTTAGGGGTGAAAGAGAGGGTTGTAGTTGTAGTTGCGGACGAGTCGATGTTTACGGATAAGCCCACGGGAGGGAGGCGAGGGAATCAATTGGCTTATACACCAAAGGAGGGGGGGGGGGCAGGGCGGACAGATAGCGGAATAGTGTGGAGGGGACTAGTAGGAACCGAATGTCCAGTCAGGGACCGAGCCGTCAGAGACGGGCACCTCCACGGAAAGGAAAAAAAAAAAACCCCGTTCTAGTCTGTTGAGGCACTCGGGCAGCGGGCGACGGGATCTCAACAATGCGGGAACTGGATTGGCCGGGCCAAGCGGTACAGTGGAGAGGAGGATGGC